TCTCTGGTGCAGGATTCTAGCAACAGCCACTGCCAGTGCTGGTGCTGTTGAGACAGCTCAACTGCAAGCTCTCTGGCTGTCTACAACTTTAGGGTGCAACCGTCATCATTAACCAAATGATAGCCCTGTTGGAAGCTCTTGATCGACTGTTGCAGGCTAAATGTGGTCCTGGGACTTGCTTTCAGAGTTGCTGCCTGGATTTGGTCCTGATGGCAATTCTCTTGAAAAAAATCAAAGAATAAAATAGCACATAATAAAGCCATTCAGTCTATCATGTCTTCACTCTTTAAATAGTGCATCTATCTATTTACTTCCATTCCTTATATACCAGCATTTTTTACAATCTCTTATTTATTCTTTTCTGAGGCTATAATTGAATCATACCATTGCCCTATCAGGCTATGTGTTTCAGCTACTCATTGTGTTAAAGAAAAGGTTTTCCCATGTTGCTTCATGTATTTTTGTCAATTACCTTAAGTCCATGAACTTTGTTTATCAACACTTAAATTATTGGAGATAGACTAGAAAAAAAAATTATCTAAATACCTCGTGCTTTTTGAATATCTCCATCAAATCGTCTATGAGGCTGTTTAGCTTAACTCCCTACATGGCTTATGTACAGGTCAGAATAATGCCAAAAGCACAGGTTCAATTTACACTCTGCTTGAGGTAAGCTTAGGACCTTTATCCTTGCTCTGTCTGTGAGAATGGAAGTCAATGATAATTGGAGACAGGCAATAACTGCTGCCCCAGCCAGCAACATTCTCATCTCTTGATCAACTGGTAGAAAACAACTACCAACAGAAATGTCAAGAAAATGGCTCAGGTTGAAACCTCAATAGGTGATGTGCCTGCTTTTTGGTTGGAACACACATGAATGGAAAATAACCTCAGCTTCTCCAATCTATCCACATAGCTGGAATCCCTCATCTCTGAACCATGCTAGTAAATTTCTTATGTCCCTTTCCAAGACTTGAACATCTTCCTAAAGAATGACACCCAGAATAGGACATTATATTCCAGGTATGGCTGACAGAGTAATCTATCTATGTTAACATCTATTCTTTTATACTTAATGCCTATATTTGTCAACTTCAGAAATCCACATCACAGAATCAGAGAATGGAAACAGCACTGAAAGAGGCCATTCAGCTTATTGAGTCTGTACTGGCTTTCTCACAAGCTTCATGACTAGGTCATCCTCCTGCTTTTTCCCAATGTTCTTGCACATTGTTTTAATGGAATTAATCATCCAATGCCTTCTTAGAAGTCTTAATGGCACCTTCCTCCACCACACTTCCAGATAGTGTATTCCAGACCGAAGCCACGCATAGTGTGAAATAGTTTTTCTTACATCTTATTTGCTACATTGACAAATCACTTTACATCTTTTCCCATCTTGTTCTCAAACCTTTATGGGCAGGAACAGTTTCTCACTGTTTACTCTATCTAGACCTCTCATGATTTTGAAAATTTTCAAATCTCCTCTTAAACACCTTCCCTCTAAGGAGAATGGTCTCAATATCTCCAATTTTTCCTCAAAACTGAAATTTCACATCACTGAAATCATTTTCATGAATCTCTTCTGTTCTCCCTCCAATGCACTTAAGTGTTGGTTCCCAAAGCTGTACACAATACTCATCTGAGCACTAACAAGTGTCTTGTGTAAGTTCACCATGACCTCCTTGCCGTATACTCTATGTCCCTATTAATAAATCCCAGGATACTATATATTATTAACTGCTCTTTTCACCTGCCCTGCCACCTTCACTGATCTATGCACATATGCACCAAGACCAGGGTTGGTTAGCTCAGTTGACTAGGCAGCTGGTTTTCAACACAGCGTGATGCCACTGGCTGAAGTAACCATGATGGACTTTTCTTCTTAGCTTCTCCTCTTGCCTAAGGAATGGTGACCCCTGAGGCTAATCTACCAACTGTGGTCTCTTTTTAATGGGAGACCAGTCCTTTGGGTCTATGACATGTTACCTTACATCTAGGCCCTCTGCTCCTGTACTCCCTGTTTTATATTGTCTGTCCACATTCTTCCTACCAAAATGCAGCATCTCACACTTCTTCACATTGAACTTCATCTGCCACCTGTCTGCCCTTGCCCATGCCTGTTTATGTCCTTTTGGAATTCTACACTGTCCTTCTCAGTTTACAAAACTTCTAAGTTGTGTATCATCTGAAACTTTGGGAATGTCCCCAGCATTTCAAGATAAAGATCATTAATATGTGAAGGAAAGGTATGTAATCAGATATTAACTACTTTGTTAACCTACCCTACCATGCCATCATCTAAGATTTGTGTGCAAACAACAAAGCTTCTGTTCCTACACCACAACATGTCCTCAATAAGCTCCATCTGAATAAGACTTCCTGATAAATAAATATTGTCGAATTTGAAGCTGAAAACACATTCATACTAGATTAACATATTCATTGTAGCTATGAAAATATCTGAACATTCAAACCATATAGTGATAGCTACAAATGAATGCATTAAGAATTTTATTTACATGTAAATTAATTCATGCACATGCAGATGGCCAGTCCATCTTAAAGGCATGCTGTCACTATTCTGTAATGCCAAGTGTTCATGAACACGGACACAATTAGTGCACAGCAACATGCCCAATAATGGCACAGAAACTTCCACACATCCAGAATGGTAAAATGTTCTCACAATCCAGCACATACTGGGTCATTGAATGGAAACTGGCACAATGCTGGCCTTCATTATTATTTAATCCACCACTCCCAAAACGAAACAGCCAAGTAACAGTTTAAAAACTATTGGGAAACACACTCATTTGTATTTATATATTATAACTACATATATAAACACATGTATACACCACCACTTGGCACTGTTACAAACATGTGAGTTCATGAAGAAACAAAGCACTAACACAGCCAGCAGTTGGAAGGATACATTCACGTTTTTATTGATGAGGCCAATTCCTTTCTATTTGAAGATTCCAGTCAATCTGTATCCAGAAAAGTTGCTGACATATTGGATTGAATTTCCAGAAATATTCGGCATAGCTAAGATCAGTTGACCCATAACGTACTGGGTTAAAAGCTTCATTTTCTTCCACAAAAAAATAGCTAGGGGCTGAATAAAATCCATCCAGAGAGTACAAGTGTTTCAACTGTACTCAGTAAAATTAGGTCTTTTTACTACAGCCAGTGAGGCGGAACAGAAGTGAGCGGTTTATGACAATAGGACTACTAGAATATTCGTCTAACAAGCTCTCATTTAGACGCTAAAATAAAACAAAGAACTGCGGATGCTGGAGATCTAAAGCAAAAACAGAAATTGCTGGCGGAACTCATGAGGTCTGGCAGCATCTGTGGGGAGAAAACAGAGTTAACGCTTCAAGCCAGACGTGCTAGCAGCAATTTCTGCCTTTGGTTCTGAATTAGTCGCGCCGTTTGATTGCATTAGTTATCTACAATGTGGCGCTTTTAAATATCTTGAACTCAGGGAGTTGGGGTTGGCGGGGGTGAAGAGAGTCTGGAAGAGATACTGGAGGTGAAAGACAAACACAGAAACGTAAAAAAAAATGAGCACAGGGACAGAGAGACGGCGAAATTGAGGAAGGGGTGCTCTCCTAGCGTGATTCGTTATAATGCAGTTTCACGGATATCTTTGCGTGAGCCTGACTCAGTCCTTTACAGCACGATGACTTAATGACAACCCCCGTGTTTATTACACAGGCATGTAATACGCCGCGGACGCCTGTCAAAACCTGTTCTCCAGACCCGGGATTGGAAACTTTGACATGGAATATTTGACAATGTCGCATCCTTGAAGTGATAGCCAACTCCGCCGATTGTGAATCTGGGCGCTACAGCCAGAAATGGAAGTGTTTCCTGGGGCATTTACAGTTCCAAGTCTTTGTTTCATGTTATGAATTTCAGAACCTGAAGGCAATGAAGACAAAATAAACTTTTCGCCCCCTTCCCCAGGGAGCAGTAGCGCCCGATTATAAGCCATTAATTGCCACATTCTGTCATTATACGTAGCGAGGAGTACATGAAACCGGCTTTAATACGTGACCCATGGATGTACGTAGAACCTCAAATCATTGTACCTTGCGCGAAATGTATTAGCGATGCAGTTTTGCATCAGCCGCTGACAATCTAACCTTTTGTTTTAGTCCTGTTTTAACCCCACTTCTGTGTTTGTTGTGGAAAACTCATTGCCAGTGAATGAACGCGGTCCCTCCAACATTCAGAACCAAGTCTCCCCCTCGCCTCTGGTCCTATTGACGCGGGTCTGTACTGGTGCGTTGGTTAAAATGCAACAAAGGAGAACAGCAAACTCCACTAGCTTGGCATCTTTCACAGACCAAACCCTCCCAACTGGCATTTAATTCAGCAGAAGGTCTACCGCCTAGAGATTTAGGACGGGGGTGGGTTCAGCGAACCGTGCTTATTTGCACCCTGCTTATGATTAGAAGCGAGAGTCAAGCAGGTCTATAAATAAACGACTTGAATTATTCGACATTTTAACTGTTGGAAGGTCCCATCTGCACAGAATTTGTGTCCTCTCTCTCTCTCTCCCCCTTCGGTAGCTCATACAGTCTGCTAACAGACTCGCGCTCACATGAGAGAAAAGAGAGAGGGAGCCGGTCCCGAACTCCAGGCTGAAATGCCAACCGAGTCTGCGGGGTTTTTTTTAGATTCGCAGTTAAAGTATTTCAGGAATTCCCTCTCCAATGGGTTAAGAGGCTGCAAATACGCAGAAGCACGCATACGTCGATTTCCAATCTGCCTTCCCCTCGATACCAACCCCCTACCCCCACCCCAACAACCCTTGCCGGCTTATTTTTTTCCCTCACACGTTTATTTTCGAATTGTAAGAGACCAAAATTTCCCTTCCCCTCCTCCTCACTCGTCCTAACGGCAGGAGGAGAATACGCCTCCTTCTTATCCACACCCACCCCCTCCCCTCCCCTCGCCACACGCAGTCATCTGTTCCGGTCTGACTCTCCTGCCAGTAAGCTCAAACTGTGGTCCCTCAAAAGTGAGGCAGCCCTCATATTGCAGCAGTTCAAAGAGGGAGTGAGGAACCGAAGCAGCTCCACAGTGCCGTGTGTCTCCAGCCTTTAGCACCAGGAGGAACAGAGACAGAGAGAAAACTTCACAACTTCCCAAGTGCAAAGTTTGCAGGAGCAGAGACAGATACAGGCTGTCCCAGAGAGAGAGAGAGAGAGAACAGTTTTAACAGGAGCCGTACGGAAAAGACACCTAGCTCCTCTCTCCCTCTCCGCCGATACCCCACAGCAGCAACAGCATCTGTGCCACCTCCAGCGGGAGTCGGAACCAGTTCCTGCCCATTTTTACAAAACTTCTGTCAAACTTTTTTTTTTCTTTTCTCTCTCTTGTTCTCTGCAAACGATTTGGGGAATTTCTGTCTCAGCCCCTGCCTCCTGGCTGGCTCCCCGATAACCTCTGAGGAAGATGCCTGGCTTTGACCTGTTGACTGGGATGATCCTGCTGCTGTTGGCTTCGACTTGGGTGACGGCTTCCCCTACGGCCGCTGCCCAGGACGGGCCGGGCTCAGAGTGCCCGAGCTGCTCGCTGCCCAAGCTGCAGGGGGACCCGGCCGCAGCTGACACTCAACTGGTGGAAGCCGTGAAAAGGCACATCCTGAACATGCTGCACATGAAGAGCAGACCCAACATCACTCACCCGGTGCCCAAAGCCGCACTTTTAAACGCTTTGAAGAAACTGCATGTCGGACGGGTGCGGGAGGACGGCAGAGTGGAAATCGAGGAGGACTGGTCCAGCAAGTCAGTCCTGAACGAACCCGAACAAGCATCAGAGATCATTAGCTTCGCTGAAGCAGGTAAGTCACAGCAGTAAACTTTCCTCCAGCCTCGCACTGGGTCTCCTATTCGGACGAAGAAGTGCATTGTAAGGCAAATGTGTTTTTATATCTGCGGGATTATTTATTTATGCAATATTCTCTGTACAGTACGGTCACAAAGGAAAGAGGTTTAAGGATTCCAAAAGATATGGACAAGTCTGGACGGGAAATGAATGATAGATTCACTACATGTGTTCAAATTATGAAGGGTTTTGATGGATTAAATAAATTGGAAATTGCTGTCTGTGGCAAGACGCTTTGAGATCAGGAGGCACAAACTGGCAAAGAAAACAGAGAGGGGAGATTTAAAACAAAAACAGATTTGTAATGCTCTGTCTCAAAGCGCCAAGCAGGCAAATTCAACGGGAACTTTCAGAATGAAAATTGATATCAACTCAGAGAGTACTTTGCAGGGTTATGATGAAAGACTAATTGGCAGCAAGTTCAAAGAGTCAGGATGGATTAAACGGGCCGAATAGCTTTCTTCCAGTGGTGTACGACTATAAGAATTAAGCCCGGGACCATTAGTATAAGAAATCAGTAGATCGACCAGCATAATCAGTCGCTTTTTATTCATTATTTGGAATTCTTTTTTGTTAAATCTCCGCTCTAAATGTCCCGCTCTAACAATGTACATTTGTCCTCGTCCTTTGTGGCTCTCAGGTCCGTCCCAGGATGTGGTACACTTTCAGATCGCGAAGGAGGAAGAAGGGGACCTTTCCCTGGTGGAGCAGGCCAATATCTGGCTGTACCTGAAGCTCTCGAACAAGTCTAACCGGAGCAGGAGTAAAGTGACTCTGAGACTATCCCAGGAAGGAGAGGGCGGCAGGGTGGTCAGCGAGAAACAGGTAGACATCAAGAGGAGTGGCTGGCACACCCTGCCCGTATCGAGAACTGTGCAGACGATCCTGGCCAGCAAGGATCCGTCCCTCATGCTGAAGGTATCCTGTGACCTGTGCCAGGAAGCTGGCGTCTCCCCGGTGCTGATAGAAGCCGACAAGGAGGAGTCTCACCGGCCCTTCCTAATGCTGCTTGTCCGGGAATCAACCGCGCACACCCACCGAATCCGCAAGCGGGGTCTGGAGTGTGACGGCAAGGTCAACATCTGCTGCAGGAAACAGTTTTACGTGAATTTCCGAGACATCGGCTGGAGTGACTGGATCATAGCGCCGCCTGGTTACTATGGCAACTACTGCGAGGGCGAGTGTCCCAGCCACATCGCCGGCACCTCGGGCTCGTCCCTCTCCTTCCACTCGGCCGTCATCAACCACTACAGGATCCGAGGTTACAGCCCTTTCAACAACATCAAGTCGTGTTGTGTCCCCACCAAACTCAGGGCAATGTCTATGCTGTATTACGATGACGGGCACAACATTGTGAAAAAGGACATTCAGAACATGATCGTAGAGGAGTGCGGCTGCTCATAAACCCTGTGAGATACACATAATGCAGACAGACTCGGACAGAAAGTCACAGAGTGAGAGAGAGAGAGAATCAAAACAGACACATAGTACACAGATCACAGATTTAGGACAGTACCCCGACTGGGTCTCTCCACAGCTATAAAACTAACTCTAGACTGTAGACATTTTCACTCGAGGGTCTGGCAGAGCATGGATCGAACTGTACCAAACTCCATGTGGCCCTCACAGCCACCCACTTTTCCCTACCTGTGACTTGACACACCTTCCACTCTTACACACAGACAGCTGACTTCTTCCGGTGCGTTGGTTTTGTTCATATTGTGACACTGAATGGCACTTTCAAAGACAAAATGCACAAGATCTAACTTTCTGTTGTTTGAACGCGGGGCAGAGCTTTACTAAGTAGCTGCACTGTTTTCTTCTTTGCAAAACTACTCCACGTGTGTAAGATGCCTAAGAACAGAACTATGCAATCTCTTTTTTTAAAAAAAAGGCTTTCTTTGGTTTACCTAAAAGGAGACGCTTGCTTCTTTTGGAAGTAAATATTCAGCTGACGAGAGATACTTGAAAGGAAAGTTCGCCCCGCTGCTGGGCTAAACATTTTTTTTAACTTTGTGACCTTTACGATTTGCACTAAAACGACGTTTGCCTGTCTAACCGCATCTTAAACAGAAGTGTTTGAAAGGACAGGGAACTGCACTCAGAACAGAACAAAACGAGTTTCTATGAAATTTTGTATCAACGGTCGAACAGACACCAAAGAGATTTGTGTAAATGTTATTGTGTGATTTCTACAAGGATACTATTTTTAAAAGAAAAACTTTTAAAATGTTTAAAAAAAAACACCTGTAGATGAATATGGCTGCAGTATCAGGGTTTGGATTTAATACTCAACCGCTTGAAACATCATTACAGATATATCTGGATGTCTGGGAAGCACCAACGATCTGACCTGAGTTAAATCCTACACCCTAAGTGTAGTTTGCACACTGTCTGAAAGCGATTTGGCAAAAGCACTTCTAGCGGTCTGCTTATTTCTTATTTAAAAAAAAACGAGCGTGTTAGAAAAAAAATCGAACTTTTGCTTAAAAATAGTTGGCCTATTTTTGTAACGACGTCGCCGAGGGCGATTAAAAGTGTTATTAAAGTATCAAATATTGTTCTAGCATTTCATGTGAGATATTGCAAAAGCTTCTTTCACCATAATAGATTAGTTGCCAATTTAATGAGGCGAAGGACGTGGGATTTCCGTCATATTTCCCGGCACCAAATTAGTCTTATTGACTTTGATGATTGTCTTTTCGAGTTGATGTGTGTGTGTTTTTTTTTGTTAAGAAATGATGCCAGAATGTCATGTTTTAAAGAAGTCATCACAGTCTATCCCCAGTTCCTACTGACTTGCCTGAAGACATGATTCACTGTGCATTTGACGTGGCGTGGCGTTTTAATTGTGGTGATCCCGCAGGCTTCTGAACTGAATCTCGAAAAGTAGTGAGTCAGTGCTAAAGCCTTCAGCCGTCATCGCCGAACGCGGATGTTAAGACTGTCTGCGGGAGGCAGCCGGTTGGGAGTCCCTTGTCATCAGACTGGGTGAGAGGCTGAGCCAGTTGCGGCCGAAGTTGGAAACGGAGGGGTGGGGGAGGCGGGGAGGTGGGGTAGAGATTGTTGATGAGCGACTTGGGACCAAACAGAACTGCAACTTCCAGACTGCACTGCAACGACCTAAACGCGTTCCGGAATAACCATTCACTCGGAGGGCGTTTAACACAGCATATTTTTTATTAAAAAAATCATGCATTGAGCTGTGAAAACAGACACCTTTCTAAGATATTCCGTGTAACGTATCTGACACGTTGCTGGTTGTTCCCTAGTCCATGAAAAACAAGCCTTCAGCGTTAAGCACCAAAAAGGAGTCGTTTATGTGCTTCTTTGGGGTAGATGTATTTTTACACATCACTGTGGAGAACGGTGAGATAATGTATATATATTTCATCAATCTAAAAAGTTCTATCGCCTTAAAAGACACAGTTTAAATTTGTTGGTCTAGTCAAGCGTGTGCTTTTTTTTCAACAAACAGTTTAGCCAATTATGTGGGCAGAATGTAAATCTGACCTGATTCGTTCAATAATTGAACCAAATCGCTATTCGGCCCATCTTATTGGAGTTGACTCTTTAAAAGAACTATCCAGTCTCACCCTCCCTCCTTTCCCAATCATATTTTTCCCCTTTCTTATCACATCAAGAGCTCCATTTTGAAAGTTGATCTGGACTTGCTACTGTTGTCCTCTTCAATCCAGGATGGTGTAGTATAAGGTCATTGCATTAGTAATTCAGAAGCTCAGGCTAATGTTCTAGGGGTACAGCTTCTATTCCCACTGTGGCAGGCAGTGAATTCGACTTCAGTAAAAATGCTAGCCTAATGTTGATCAAGTATCCACTATTTATTGTTGCAAAAACCTAATTGTTTCATTAATGTCCCCTAGGCAAGGAAATATTCACCTGGTGTGGCCTACTTGTGACTCCAGAGGTACAACAGTTGACAATTAAACATCCTCTGAGAAATTAAGAAATTAATAAAGACTGGTCTAGCCAGTAATGTCCACAATCCATAAACAAATGTAAGAAACAAGTATTTCAGAACACTGTCATGGTACAGTATTCATATTACTGCTGTATCCTGCGCTGTTCTCTATCCTTCATCTTCAACCACACATTCAGGTCCTTTTTATACCTGGACACTGAGATGTGGAGTTGTGAAATGTAAATTTCAGCACTTATTCAGTTATAACACTTGGCAAGGCTGAGCAGCTTCTACCGTTAGTCTGTCAGGTGAGGCCATGGAGAGATTTGTAATAAAAGAGAATTTTAATATCAAGGTGTAGCTTTGTTCATGTTGAGATCTTGTTGGCATTCCTAAATTTCATTCCAATGTTGCTGCACTAATATGTTTGCAGATTCACCTGTCAGTTTCTCCATTTATTTCTGACACATGATTGACTGACAGATAGAGCAATGCAGTTTATGGAAAACTTTATAAACTGTGTTAAGTCAGACCCATTTTTATGGATTATGTTGTAGCGGATAGGAAGCTAATTGAAAAAAAAAACAAATGTATTCATGCCACCAGATAATTTATCAACAAGTTTCCACAGAATGTTTTTGATTGTATCTTAACCAGAACATTTAAAATGTTATTCTTCTTTCAAAAATATAGCATAATTGCTATAAAGATGTTTTTATATAATCTGGCAGCAATTGAAATGACAATCTCTGTTTACCTTTTAGCATTCTGTTGCTTCTTTCTATCATTATAGATTAACACATTCTTAAATTGGTAAACAGATAAAAAAACAACTACCCTAACTGTTTTTGTTTTATTTTGATTTAAAGTACACCTTATCTAGACCAACAATCCAAAATTGTCTTTCATCTTCCTGTGCATTTGAAATATAATGCTTTGAAGCAATGTTTGTTAGGCTAATATGATTTCAAATGTAAAATTAATTTATGCACTTAATTGTGTAAACAGTATAATTTGATCGTTTAATATTTATTGTATAAACAGTAAATAAATGTTTATTTTTCAGTTGCATAAAGGGATATTAACATATGTTGCAAAATAATAGATGAAGTTTGTGGAATAAAGCTGTTACCAGCACAAAACATTGACTTAAGCACAGCCTGGAAGTCAGTGTATTTCCCACACCAAACAACAAATAGGCAGTTTAAACAGCCTAATACCATTTGCACAATTCGACCTCTGCTATCCATTTAATTCAGGAAATGAAGTAACTTCATTCGGCCTGCATCACGTCTCAGTGGCAGCACATAATCCCTCTCAGTCACCAGATCATGGGCTCAAGCCTCACTCCAGAGACTGGAGTACCATATCCAGGCTTACAATTCAATGAAATACTGACGGAGCAACTGTTACTCAAATGAAGTGGTACACCAAGGTCCTGTCTACCATCTCTGGTGGATGTAAATGATTCACATCCACAGTTCCAACATTGCAATAATCCTATATTCAAGAGGTACATCTCTGGCTTTGGAGATGTTTGGGGCGCCCTGAAGCTGTGAAAGGCATTTTATGAACAAAAGTCATTCTTCCTTTTATTGTATAAGACTACATAAGACAATAATGTCCTCCTGCGTCCACGTTATTTAAATGTGACATGAACAAAAGTGTCATTCATTACTGTCTATTTCACGTCATGTGTTTAAATTATTTTGAAAAGAGAAAGTTTCTAAAATGTGACTTGATTTTGATGTCTTTGGAACGAATTAGGTTTCTGAGTACTGAATTTCCACATAATTCTATCTTTATGTAAACATCAGTGTCATCCACAATAAATTAAAGAAAACAATACTGTTTTTAAAACTTATGTTTGTTTCATTGTGCAGAGATATCCCTGGCCCCAACAGTTGCCTAAAATTGAAACAGAATCTGAACCTATTTTGGGTTTTCATCACCCATTGTATTTTATTTGTCAATTAGTTAAAACACTCAATCCACCCTACATGTAAAATCATACACTAATACATTCTGTTGATCAAGAAATTTAATTCATAACATTTAAAATTTAAGTCATAAAACATAAATGCTCTGTAGGCTATTTACTGACCAAAGTTATTCTTTTCCAAATGATTTTGAGGTGTTGTGTGCATTCTTTTTGCTATTTAAATGCAGTTATGCATAATATTGAATCATGCAAAAGTGCACTACCTCCATTCACAATACACATCTTTCATTTGCATTGGTGTGAAGCCAAATGGGTATGTGTGTGAACTTCCATATGGAGCTGATGTCTTTGTCATGTATAGCATGCCAGCATGATAAGATCAAGTATTACATTTGTACACAGGCTAATGCTGACCCATCCTTTGGATTTTGCTTACAATGCACAAGTTTATGCTTCTCCAGAAGACAGTGACAGCAATTTAAATTTACAATCAGTTTCATCTTGAACAAACTACTCAGTTAGTTTTTAATAATCCTTTGGGACAAAGTTAATTAAATATATTTGGGGTCAAAGTGGTTTCAACATGATGCATGTTGGCAATGTAATTTCAGAACTAAGCCAGCTAAGTAAGAGTTTGTCGACTGTTAGCTGAACCAACAAGGTTCACATTACTCCACAGATAATTGATCGTCTTGACTGTTTCATGAAGGAAACTTTCTGAAAAAGTTTGAGGTTTCTCCCATTTTATCTCCAGAACATTCTGCAAGTCAGTGTATGAAAGGTCACAGAGGAGTAATGTAGACTAGCAACAAGAAAGTTAACAGTGGCTCATATTAAAAAGATGGCCATTTTTGTAAGTCCAATCCCAGCACTTTTTGGTTTCCCAATTTCACCATTTCAAATTAACATTTTGCATTTGGTCAAGAATACTGTTCCTACAGATAGCAAGAGTATCTCCTGCAAGTAGCTCACATCCTGTTTCTCAAATGTCCATCAATCACCTGCATGGTACATGTCAGGAGTGTGATGGAATACTCCCCACTTTCCTGAATAAGCTACATAAAACTCAAGAAGTTTGACAACATCCAAGACTAAGCAGCCTGCTCGATAAGCACTTCATCCACCATCTTCAACACTCACACCCTTCACCACTGATGCACAATGATGGAAGTGGGTACAATATCTAAGATATACTGCAGTCACTCATCAAGCCTCCTTAAACAGAACCTTTGAAACCTGTGACCTGTCTCACCTAGAGGGATAAGGGCAGCAGATATATGGGAATTCTACTACCTGCCAAGAGACCACTGTGTCACTCAAAACTATATCACACATCTTTCACTTTGACTGTAATGCCCAGATCTCAGGTGAGGTTCTCCAGTTTGTTATGGTTCCAGATGGGATGCCTGAAGCATTAAACTCTGACATTGGTGCTAAAAACACAGGTAGGAAAAGGAATGATGTCCTGAAGGCAGATTTTCGGGAGTTTGGAAGGAAATTATAAAGCAAAATCTCAAGAGAAGAAATCTCAGAATTTCTCCCCACAAATCATGCTAGTGAGAATCAAAACAGGGGGATTGATCAATTGAATATGTGGCTGGAGATCATATGTTAGAAGCAGGGCATCAGATTTCTGAGAATTTGGGACCAAATTTCGAACAGGTGGGGCCTACACAATCTGGACGGGTTGCACCTGAATGGGATTGGGACTGAGATCCCCACAGGGAGATGTGGTAGTGTTGTTTGCATGGGTTTAAACTAGCTTTCCAAGAGGTTAGGAATCTGAGGGCTAACCCAAATAAGAAGGGAGAAAGATGATAAAGAGAAATTAAAAAGATGCTAGGGAGACTAGAAGACAGGAGAAACAAAGTCATGTGTCAAGTATGCTTTGAAAGTGGAATGATGTCAAAAAGACAAATTTAAGGGCACTCAACCTGAACAAGAACAGCATTCACAATAAGTTAGATGATTTAAAGGCACAAATAAATATGCCAGGGCATGAACCAATTGCCATTACAGAAACATGGCTGTACGGCGACCAGTATTGGGAACTCAATATTTAAGCAAGTTCAATGTTTAGTGAGAAAGGACAAAAAGGAAAAGTGGGTTGCAATGATAATAATGGATGGGGCCAATACATC